TGTGGGAAAATTCTTCTTCTACCAGTCCTTCATCACCTTAAACAAAATTGGGTGAATACATCTCATATTATTGAATTGGACTGAATAAATACCCTCAAATGGGCAAACCTAAACTAATATTAAATAAGCAAGAACTTGTGATAATAAGTGTGAGTTACGAAGATATATGAAAAGCAAATGCGCCCGAACAGGAGAGCTACCATAATCGTTTAGCAGACAATTGGCCTAGGGTTTGACTTCACTTGCCACTTTGACGAGTGTGGTGTAGTTCTAAGGATGGCCTAGCTCATTGTAGATGATGACCACGATGCTGGAAAAATATCTGAAAATGCACCAAGTCCAATGATTATGTATACTATAGACTCCGGATATTTTTGCTCTTCTAGGTCTTCCTGAAACTAGCATTAAATAAGGAAAACAATATCAAACAAGTGCTATACAACGAAAGGAGACCGTGAGCATTCTAAGGTCAATAGCCTCTTGGTTGTTATATCTAGTTTTTATAATTTCGAGGTGGTTGAAGGCATGGCAGAGTCTAAAAGCCCAAAACAAAATAAAATCAAGAAACTTATCAACTAAGTTGGAATAAACATGTGCTAAATCACTATTCTTCTAAATAAAGATAATTTAGGATAAAATATTGGTTGAAATGACTTATGTCAGGCTTATTGATGAATGTTGATACATGATCAGTCAATAGGTTAAGTCGGTTTTTGCAGTATTCTTATATGAATCCACTGTTGAATATAAATGCACTTGAAATATGTAGGCTTGGTCACTTTATTTCTTAATTCTTATTTTTTTTATTAGCAGTCTACTAAATTTATTTTATATTTTTTGGTGTATAATAACGATTGAAAGCTAAGTTCAGTAAGCATCTAGTTGATATATCCTAAATCATTTGCTTGCTCAATTCCTTCCAGAATATCTCATATAGTGTGAATTAGGTCAAATTGACATGTCTTGCATCGTATATCTCTACTTGCCCACCTCCATTCAGTGGACCCCCTCAGCTGGACTAAACACAGCACCGCGTCTGGGAGATCAGGATCAGACAGTGCAAACTCATGGCTCTCGTGAAGACATCAAAAAAAGGGAAATCGTGCGAGAGGAGGACTTTGATGAGCACGTTCGAATCAACCCAAACCCATTCAGTGACCCTAGAAATAGAACCATCCGTGTGGTTAGCATCATTGCAAAGCCATTCCTCCAGTTTAAGGAGTCCGGTTATGGTCGTGGGAGAGCCAGGCTCACCGGAAACGACCAATTCGAGGGTTTCTGCGTGGACATGCTGGAGGAAATAGGCCGACTACTCGGCATCCGTTACGAGATTCACTTGGTCGGTGACAACAGTTATGGAGAGAAAAAATCTATTAGTCCGCCCGAAACTGTCCAGGTTATGAGTCTGAATCCGATCACAGGACAACCACGAATTGAGCACAGAACTCGACGCCATCAGATCTGGAACGGGATGATCGGCGAAGTTGTGAATGGTACTGCTGACATGGCTGTGGCACCAGTGACCATAAACCATGCGCGAGCTCGAGTCGTCGATTTCTCAGAGCCCTTTCTTACATTCGGCATTTCACTGATCATCAAAAAACCAGGCAAAAAGAAACCGGGAATTTTTTCATTTCTTCATCCTCTCGCCTATTCTGTATGGCTGGCAATTCTTGCAGCATGTTTGGTGGTTAGTTGCGGCCTTTGGGTTATCGCCAAGCTTAGTCCTCTTGAATGGCGCTACCAGACCGATCCAAACACAGACAGAGTCCGCTATCATCCTGTCTTCACCTACTTCAACTCTCTTTGGTTCTCATTTGCTGCCTTTGTTCAACAAGTAAGCAAAGACATTTTACCACTTTTAGTTCACTTCAGCGTTTTTATTTAAAAAAAAAAGCTTTTTTTGACTGAATTCAGTCATTGTTGAGCTCACTTTCGCTTCGTGTCAAAGTGTTTGGCAAAAATATGTACCCAACCCAACGTGATGATTAAAATATAATGAAATGGCAGTGGAGGTGGTGATTAAATCCGGACGTTAATTTTAATTATCAATCCACGTTTCGTGAGTATACGACCACATGAAGGAGACTAAGCACACATAAACAAACACAGACACACTTTTCGAGATTTATGTGCAACTTTTACCAACCAAAGCAATTTTCTATCACAGTAAAATAAATTTATAGATAAGCCGGAAATCGAAGGAGGGTCGCTTAGAAACAATATCAACAAGAATATTCCGTAAAGACAATCGACAAATGATCAAGAGAATTCCGTCTTCGTCTTCTGCTGGAATCAACTTTTGAAGCGCTTCACAAAACTTTTAATTTAAATGGTAGTAAGCTTAACAATTATAGATCAAGAAATTCATTGAGACCCAACTTTTATTCGTGTAAATTATTTAGATCTATAGGCCAGACATATAGGTCAATTATATTCTTAGATTGTTTTGCTCAGACTTAGCTGATTGTAAAAGTCTCTTAATTTTGCACATGGATTTTTACTAGTTAGTCAAAATAACCAGTATAGGCATTTGAGATAATCGAAATCAAATTACTACCATTCTGAGGTGAAAAAATGATTTACAACTTTAAAAACTATAATTAGAAACCGGATTTTAAATATGATTTTGGCACAGTTTTTCTAGCAAGCTATATAGTATAACTTATATTTTATCAATTGAAAATTCATTCATATTTATGTCTGCAAAATCCCAGACGATGCACAGCCTGGATACCAAATTTTGTGGTTTTTAAGGGATCCTGCCACCTCATCTATAGATAATTTATAGCCTATTTAAGAGTACAGTAGATCCTAATTGCTCATAAAGCCAGCATCAGACATAAGAAAACCAGTGGGTCCTGTAGACCAAAGATACCAAACATAGAATCTCAGAGTGTCTATTCCTGGAGTTTTTCCGATGGTAAAGGACCAAAGGACACATCAACTAAAATATAATTGGCTTTAAATGCTGTCTATAAGGAAGCATCAATCAGAAGCTAAATAGTAAAATGTGAACTCTGCATTCCACAGGCTAGACCCTAACAAATGTCTGCATTTTATTATAAAAAGCAAGTGAGTTAATAGACCAGTGAGGATGCTCATCGTTATATTGACAATATATGGGCCTCATGAGTAATCCCTTGTTCGCAAAACAGGCAATATATTACATTACATTAAGATTAATTTCGTTGAAAAATCCACGAAGAATTTAATATGGCTGTTGTACCTGTCATAATTAACTTTTGAATAGCATCACAACTTCGTTTGCTTATTTATATATAATAGAAGTTTACCCTTCATATTTTGGAGCCCCCTATGCTATTTAGTCTGAGAGTACACTTCTTTATAATCCACTATAGTTGGTAACTAACCCATCTACTTTATGCTAAATTCTGACAGGTGTATTGGTTCTTCAATGGCAAAAGTGACTATTAATAT